GGCCCGAATGCAGCTTGCAGTGATTAGGGAACATACGTGGAGTTCCTCCACGGGGTGCTTCGGGCGCCAAAAGCAAGCGGGTTGCTGCCGGTCCGCGGTGCCCCGGGAGCTGCCTCTTGAGCTGCGTTGTGTCCTGCCGCAGGGTCCCCAAGGAGAAGCCGAAAGCGGAGGCGGCACCGAAACCTCGGCAGGGACCCACTGATGAGGCACAGATGGCAGCGGCGGCAGCGTTGGCCCGGATGGAGCTGAAGCCTAAGGCAAAGCCACCCTCCTCCCAGGGGGCCATCAAGAACCAGGGTAGGAGATTCCTCGAAGATGCAGCTGGGGTGAGAGCCTGGCTGGGCTGCAAGGCTTTGCTGGTGATGGCTCCAAGCTCAGAGATAGCTCCTGCAGCTGCTGTAGGTCTGAGCCTGGAAAGAGAGTTCCCAGCTTGGCAGCTGTGCAGCTGGAGCCGGATCCTTGCTGATGACAAGCCTCTTAGAAATGGGGCTAAGGCACACCCTGAACCAGAAGCAGAGCACCCACAGAAGTATTTGCTTCCTTGGAGCAGAACTGCACTGTGCAAAGCCCTCTGAGGAACCACCTGGGGTCTGTGCCCCTGCTGCCATAACTGGGTTTTTTCTCTCCTAGTGAGAAAGGAGCTGATGGCTGAGGCAGCTGCAAGTGAGAAGGGGGTTTCTGCACACCAAGAGGTACGAGACCTGCTGCTGTTTCCTAATCATGTTAAAATGCATGCTTTGAGAGTGCTGTTGTCCCTGTCCTATAGAGAGATATGCTAACAACCCACAACAATCCAAAACGAAGCAACCATCGTTCAGTTGCGCCTGCTTTTGTCTCTTTTAGGACCCAGCCTTCTCAGACAGGGAAGCTGCAGCTGAACCCTCTGTTTCAGGGGTCTATTTCATTTGCCCGTTGACCAGCGCAGTTGTAAGGAAAGATGAGAAAGAGAAGCATATCAGAGAAGCCATCCAGTCGGTGAGCTCCACATCTGCTGGCTGTGCTTCTTTTATTCCTTCCCTTTAAACTCATTTTGTGCATGAATCTCCCTCAAGCAATGCAGCAGTGACCTCTTACTCTCTGCCTTCTCCCTCATCTACCAGACTGCAGGCTCTGTTCAGATGTTACAAATTCCTGTCCTTTTGCTATTAATGCTGAGGCAGGGAGCTCCGACCTACATGTCCCCTTGGATTGTACAGAACAGTCAGTTCCCCCTTGACCAGCTTCTCTCCTTCTTTTCCAGTATTTCTCTGTAGACCCAGTGGCTGCCTCCATCATGGAGATTCACACCTTCAATAAGGATCGAGAGAAAGTCCGAGTAGGTGTGGAAACCATGGCCAAGTAAGTAGGATGGAGCACTTGGGGAGCTTGTCCCTTCCCTGGAAGGTTAACAGGCATTGCTGCACTCCAGGCAATGCCTGAAGAAAAACAAAACCAAATGCTTGAAACACATTAAGTGTCAGTTGAAATAAGGCCAGATTCTCTGAGGTGTTTTGAGTTGATCCGCTGGTCCAAGAGGTTTGGTGGTTGAGATCAACCACCGCCACGTTCTGCCTCGCTTGCTTTCCTCACTTTTTCAGCTTCTATCTGAGACCTTGCAGTATTTCTCATACGTGATCATTCTGTGTGGGGGCAGCGTGTCCTCGAGTGCCTGCTTTGATCCATGAACTGCATTCCTCTTTCTGCAGATACCTGGACAACATCTATCTGCATCCAGAGGAAGAGAAGTACCAGAAAATCAAACTGCAGAACAAAGTATTTCAGGTGAGATCAGGATTGCTGCAGGTGCTCTGCCTAGGGAACTCCTTGCCTGGAGCAGACTATGTTTAATTAATTTATCTTTTTTTTTCCCTTCCAGGAAAGGATAAACTGCCTGGAAGGCATACATAGATTTTTCCAGTCTGTTGGGTTTGAGACTAAAACACTTCCTGTTCCAGGACAAGGCAAGATATTTAAGTGTCTTGTAAAGTGAAGGCAGCAGTCTGAGTGGTGGGGCATCCCAGGGGAGGCCTTGGTTGTTCTGAGAGCTCCACGCTTCAGGGCTGTTATACAAACAGCCTTTTGCCCTGCATTTTCCTTGTTAAAACAGTTTTTCTGCATATTATCACCCTTATATTTTATGCATTAATGTGCTTCTGGTTGTAGACACCACTGAAGAGTACTATGTACTAAAGGAAGAAATGCTGACCAAGTTGGAAGACCTCAAGGACTACAAAGAGCAGCTTTTAAGCTGTGAGCCACTGAGACTCCAGCTGGATCGGCAGCTCTGTGTATTTAAACCATCAGCTGAAGCTGCTCGATTTGAGCTGCCAAATGACTTCTACAACCTCACTGCAGAAGAGATCAAACGAGAGCAGCGGCTCCGGTGAGGAGGTTTAAAGTGAGGGCCTCCAATACCTGGGGGGCCTGCTGTAACTCCCTCAATGCCTCTTCTTCATGCTAAAATTCACTTTTTATCTAAAGGACAGAAGCAGTGGAAAAGGCTTCAATGCTGAGGACAAGAGCCATGAGAGAGAAAGAAGAACAAAGGGAAATGAGGAAGTACAACTATACCCTGTTACGAGTTAGATTTCCTGATGGCTACCTTCTCCAAGGTAAGACTTCTTAGCCTCTCTTTGTGCACCCCTAATAGCTTTTGAGAATACTTGTAGCAGAAGAGATTGATAAGACGTGCAGAAGACAAGCATTAGAATGAATACAGAAAGAAGCAGAGTAATGTTTCAGTGTGAATCTTTACAATCTTTGAGCCTTCTGTGTGCCTCAGCTGCACAGGGCTGGAACTGTAAGCCAGGGTTCACTGTAGAGGAAAGAATCTCAAGGCATTACTAATTAAATGTGCTCTTCCCAGGCTACTGCTAGCAAGCTGGAATCATTAGATGAGTTTGCTATAGTAACCAGCATGAAATTGCCTGCGTGGTGGCAGGCTGTACAACGGTACAAATCCTCTTCAATTTTTGCAGTAGAACTCCAGAAATAGGTTTAGGCTTTTCCAGTTCTTTGTTACAGGCTGGCAGGGGTTTGCAACGTGCGAAGCAGCGCTTTTCTTTAGGAATGCTGCTTTCATACTTCAGTTGAATCAGGCTCTTCCGATGCCACTGAAGTAGTTTATAAAGTTAGCATCAGTACTGGAGCCCTGTGAAACCTACCACTAAAGATTGCATTTGCTAAACACTAGAGACTTCCTCTATGTCACTTTTTCTTCATGGCAGGGACTTTTTATGCACGCGAACCCGTGTCTGTGCTCTACAGCTTCGTAAGAGAAGCACTCAGAGATAACTGGCTGCCCTTCGAGCTTTTGGGACCTGGAGGTCTCAAACTGACAGAGGAGAACTTGGCTTTCAACGAGTGTGGGCTGGTAAGAGATGGCACCTTGCACAGGGGTCTTCAGGTGGCAACAGAGCTCGACTTGTCAGGGTCAGATGCTGCTCATAACTTAGATTGCATCTTCAGCACAGTAGTGCTCTGTCCCTTCTTTAAGCTCAGGCAATTGCACGAAGGCTAACTCAAGGCCAGGAGGCCTTCATCAAAGAGACCTAAAGGACTTATAGGAAACTCTGGCTACAGCATTTGCCAGCAGAGGGCTAGCACACACTCTGGGAAAAGATGGAAGGCAGCAACTGCGAGCCAAGCACAGCTCTAGCATAAAGGTTCCATGAGCAAGCTCAAAGCAGTGTGCCCCAGGGAGCATATCTGTATAGTAGTGTAGCTTAGTAACACTCTTTCTCTGTTCCAGGTCCCCTCAGCTCTTTTGACTCTTGCCTGGGATGCAGCAGTCATGTCAGACATTGAGGCATCAGGACAGGAGCAGCCAGCAAGCCCCCTGAAACCAGAACTTCTCTCCAACGTCCAGACACTATCTTGAAATAAAGGGGAATGGATTCAGCACTGGTGGCTTTAGATTGTTCCCTTAGGCTGGAGCTTCCAATATGGGATCTCAAGTGACTTCTAGCACTGCAGCATGGGAGGTTGGAGTTTCAGCCATTTAAAACCAGCCTTGCAGCCATTTCCACAACTCGGTAGCCATTCAAGGTAGTCTTACCCAGTAAAACTTTCAAGGCTGCACTTAATGGCTTTAAGAACTAAGTTCTAGCAATGACTGCTGAAGGTATTTTTAAGGCCATGATGAAGTACCACTTTCCTCTTTTGGAGGAGGGAGGAGATGCTAAGAGAAGGCTGGATGATAAACTGAGAGAGCCTGGATATTGGGCTGGGCTTAGAATTCAGCTTTTCCTTTTGTTTCTATGTGCACTGTAACTCCTATTGGAGAGAGTATATTTAGATAACATTATGTTTAATCTAATTAAATTGATTATTTAAAGATTCAGTTCTGCTTCAAGTTATTTGAATTGTATTATTTACAGTTTTGAAGTACAGCTGAGTTCCAGTCACTGCTGGGGCATTAGTCCTCATCTTCCTAAGGCACCTGCAGCCAGAAGAGCCAGCCTGGGACACAAACAACAAGCAAGAGCTACCGAGGCTCCATTTGCCCTCTGATGAGAGATAAAACTCCAGATTACAGCCAGTATTTTAGGGAATTCATCCCTCAGCAGCTGAGAAGCCTTATAAAAAGTTAAAAACCACAGCAAGCTTGTTAATGTATGGAACAAATGTGATGCTGGTTCCATTCCACATGCTTAAATCCTAAAGCTCTCCTAGGGACAGTGATCAGCTTTTTTACCCCCCCCTCCTTTCTATTGCAGTGTACACAGGAGATCACAAGTCTCTCACTGTCACTAGCCTGTAATATCAGACTATCACAAAATAGGAGGAACAGCTTGACAGGTGCTTCCTTTTCCAAAGGCAGAGCTGTGGAGCTGCTCCTCATAGCAAGTAAAGTCACAAACAGGATAATACAGATAGCATAAAATCAAATGTAATTGTACATCGTTCATGCCCAAGGGCATGCTATACAACATTATGAACAGAGGAAGCCTCAAGAAGCAGCACAATAAGCTTATTTAAAAAACCCTCCACTAACACAGATACCTTCCATTACAAAGAAGTACCAAAATTTCAATAATGCTTTATTAAGGACAGATTAATATGCAATATCTTTTAAGCTAAAAACTAGAAGATTTAAGCTTCCATCTGGTCTGAAGCAGAACAAAGTGCTGTCTTCTCTTTACAAGAAATATGGAATACTTTCAGGTATCTTGTTCAAAGATACACAGGGTTTTAAATTTTCTAAATAATTCTACATACATACAAGAGAAGTTAGTAGGCATTGAAGTCTCAAACTGTATTAGATGGGCTGACCACATTGGCATCCTGGTGAGCAGCAGCTGTACCACTGGATTCTGGAGCTGTTTCAGTGACTGTCAGTGTTGAATCTGCAAAGTAGAAACTGTCACCTTGTGGTTTTGCTCTTTTTAAAGCATCTTCATTAAACCAGTCAAATCTGACCCCTGCCAGCTATGCATGCAGCCACGAATCCAGTTACGAGTCTCCTTTTCAATACCATTTGGTATTAACACTGGATTTCGGCACTGGGTTACACTAATACAGAGTAAAACTAATTCTAATTAAGAATCAAGTCTTGTTAGTGCTTTAGAACTAGGCAGAGCTGCTACCAAACAGCACTCTCATCCTCAGAACAAGAGCTTATGAACCTGAAGTAGGGCTTTCATCCTGCTGCAGTCATGTAATAAGCAAAAGCAGCTTAAGATGAAATGCAAAGCTTCTTGCCAAACAGCTGTGTTGTCACTTATGGAAGGTGAGAGGGGGGAATGCAACACCAGCTCAGATAGAAAGAGAACCAAGACATGTCTAGAATGTCTCAAACCTCTGTAGAATTGAGTATTTTGGGAACAGAACAGAGAGGCAGAAGCCCTCATCTAGCAATTAAAGGAGCTGCCTAGTAACAATAATAATAAAGCCACTTAATTCAGGTTATGCAGCATTGTGATAGAGCCACTGTGAGAGCTGTAAAGCTTGCAGGTTTTAAAAGCAGTTTAGAGGACGTAGCTGCACGTGGTTTGTGTTAAGTCATTGATCTGTATGATCAATGTGTAGTTAAGACCTCACTGAGATGAAAGGAGCTTTTCCTTTCCTCATCTCCCTGTTCCAGAATCTGTAACCTGAAAGGCTACACTGACAGAGCTTTTGAAAACCCTTTTTCCAAGCGATAACTGGGACACAAATATAAACAACTGCTTGGATTGTAGCACAGAGCTGTGCAATGCTGATCAAAGCATCCATCTGTCACACAGCTGAGAGCTTGGTTATCTGCTGCTATTTCCTTCAGAATGGACACTTCAGCATGCACTTCAGACTTCAAGGCAGCAAAGCTAAGCTCCAGACCTTGTTAAGTTCTGGGAAAGCTCTGAACAGAAGTATGCAACCCCCTGAGATGAGCCCTTCTCAGCAACATCCACTTAATGTTAGTAAGTCTACTGATAGCAAGATGTTCACTTTCCTTATCAGAAACAAACTGTAATGCTGGCAGATAATTGTTGTTCACAAACACTTTGCTCTGCTTAGTCACTTGGAGGGAAAAAGAAGGGCAAGAGCAGATTAGCAAAGATCATAAAGAAGCATCTAGAATAAGTCGTAAAAGCAGAAAAATATATTGCATAAAACATCTATAGAGAAGAGCACAAAGCTTGGTAAAACTGCAGCAAAAACAAAGCAAAACCAAACAGTGACAGGTTTAGCTACAGTTTCTACTCCCCCATCTGCTAGTGGTTGTCTGCCAAGAGCTGGCTAACAAGTATTTTTCCCCACCTTTGCATGGCTGTACATCCACAATCATGCAGTCGTCGTCGTCCTCATCTTCCTCAGTGTCTGCCTGAAAGCCATCCATCTCCATGGCTTCAGCCTTAAGGGGAAGAGGAGGAAAAGTTACAAGGTATCAGCAAGGTGACAGCATTAAGGTGCAAGATCTTGCACAGCCAATGCTAAGGACTGCAACGGAGGCTTCTCACAACTAGTGCTCAAAGCACAGTCCAGATAGGCAGGCAGAGATGTTTGCAAGGAACAGCAGACACTGACTTCTGGTAAAAGGCCTGCTCTGCAATGGCCCATGCAGCAGGAAGCATGCCAAGTGCTTGTGCTCCATGTTACACAGCACAATTACACACCTAGAAGTCAGTTCAGGCCTCAATTAGAGTCTGACTCAGTTTTGTCTTTTTTGTTATTATATTTATACATACTTCAGGGAAATCTTCCCCTTCTTTTGATTTCTCGCTTCTGAAGACAAAAAGCAACTTCAGCTTGTCAAGTTTAACCTTGTTCTCCCCTGACTCATCAGTCAATAAACTCATTTCAGGGAGGGATGACAGGTCTTTCCTTGGTGACACTTTGCTGCCCTGAGAGCTGCAAATCCACTCACGTTGAATCAGGAAAGGAAACAAAACGTAAGGAGTGATGCAAACTGAAGCTGTTCTGCATCAAATATCTCCAAGTTCTTTTTCCCCCCCTTTACTTTCTTCAGCTGGAACAGTGAAATTGAAGTCTCAGAAGTTGGTCCCTGCCTATCCTAACTGCTTCAAGACAAGAAGTTTCATGTTCACATCTTCACATAGAAGTCTTCCCCTCCTACACACACTGAGGTATTTCAGTACCAGGTTCTTTCTCTGCAGCTTATGTGAGAGCACCTTCACTTCTAGAAGGGTCCTGGCGTGAGCTTTGTGGCAGAGCCACACAGGAGAACCATCAGCAGGTCAAGGCTGTCAGGTTCTCCAGTTTCTCCACCAGCCTTGCACAGCTGGAAGGATGGGATCTCAATCCCCAGTTGCTGCTGGTTTAGATGACAGGCATGAAAGGCTTTCAGGAACCTGACACCTTTGTTCTCAGCCATCACATCTGAGGGCAACTAAGATGCTTTCAAAAGCTTAGAAGAACTCAGGCCAACGTTGTAATTCTACTCAAAGAGTTAGTTTCACTATGTCTGCCCAAGTGCTTGAATATAAGCAGAGCTTTGTAGTTGTTTCTCTCTTTTTTAATCTCTGCTTTTATTTAGCATACAAGAAAAAAAAACCAAGCAGATGCAGTTTGGGGACTGAACAGTTTCTCAGCTTTCTGATCCCTATCAATATTTGTACTTCATTACAGATCTTCAGTAGAAAAGTTGAAGAAGTAGGGAGTAAACTTAGAAAGAAAAGCACAAAAAGCCTTGAGCAAGGCTTCCTTCCTCCCCCTTACACACAGGAGAGTAATAAATCCACTGAAGAGTGCAAACCACTCCTGTCTGCAGGTTTGAAAGCACACAGCTGATCACAGCAGGCTTCAGGACCTAAAGCCTTACTGTCTGAAGAACATGGGCAGAGATTCACGTAGCTAAAGCACTGATCACATGCTTTTCAACCATACTTTTGGATAATTAAGCTCTTAATACTACTTGTTTGCCTCTGCTTTTCAGGTAAACATAACAGGAAGAGCACAGATTAGTTGGAATAGTGACTACTCCAAGCATCAACTCTGCTCCTGTGATTTTTTTTTTTGAACAGCTCTTGAAATCCAGCTTTTATATATATATAATATTATGAGCCTGAGACTTTGCAGACTATTAAGAGTTGAGTTGCAGCACTCAGAGACCAGATTTAACCAGTACATGTGCATCTGATGCAAGTCACCAGTGCAGGCTATACATCTGGCAGCCATACAAATCTGCAGGCAAATTGCATACAGCTGGAAAACCAAGGACAAACAGACACTCAAAACTATTCACAGCTTGGAAGCAATCACTGCCAAATAGCAGAAAATGGAAGAAGATTAATGTTTCAAGTGAAACAATCCAAGTCAGAGGCAAAGAAATCCGTCTCTTCAGAGTTGGGAAATTGTACTCCTTCCCCACGAATAAAGACCTTTTTGTATGACAAATGGTTTTGGTAGCTGAATATTTTGACTCTGCTGATGGCAGGTTTAGGTCAGTTTGGGAGGAGTGCCATGATACTTGCCTACTGAAGAGGCACAGCTACATTCCTGCTGTTCATAATAGGGGAAGAGGGCTGTGAAAGCTCACCTGTTCAGCACCCCTAGGCCTCTTCATGAATTTAGTGATGCACATACTTCCAGTGGACTTCCTCTTTACTGACACAGGGGTGCTCTGCACAGGTGCCACACCTGGCACCCCACCACCGTCCTCCTTTCCTGAAGAAGGGACCTGGGTGACGTAGTTCCATTGGCAAGGGACAGGGAGGTGCTCTTGATCGAAACTCTTCAGCACCTCCGAGTGGACGTACCAACACATCCGATATTCAGGTCTCTTCTCATACACAGAGTTCTCAGAAATGATTCTCTTTAGCCTGGCTTTGGAAGGGACACCGCTGTCCTCACCGACTGGTGTCTGCGGTCGGGAGGCGTTGGGGCTCACAGGGCTCGTGTCTCCACTCTCAGCTGCAGTCACATCACTGAACAGTCCTTGCCTGCAGCACTCCTGGAACTCCTGGATGATCACTTTGCTCCCGTTCACGTTCCCATGGAGCAGTGGTAGAAGCTGGCCAAGGACTGCGGAGAAGAGAAGTTGCATAAAGGTTGTAGAGAACTATTTAAAGGTCAAGAAAAGCTTGGCTGCCATAATATCAGTGTACACATCCCCAGGAAAGAAGACAAATAAGATTAATTTTAGCTTCTGTTGCAGCCCCGGACCTAAACTTTATAGTCAAGCACAACAGGAATGTGAAGTGAGAATTTCAATCTCTATTCTGGTCTTTTTGGGCATTACTCATACCCTCGTGTTAATCACACACAGGATGTACTCAATACTGAAATTACAAACAAAATACATCCTCCCTCTCTGAGCAACACACAGCTAAGTCAGCTCAAGCACCTCCAGTAAGTAGTCCTAAATCTGAGCCTTCTGAATGAAGTCTTGTTGGCATTGTTTCCTGGATTACCTGAAGCAAGAGCTTTTAGAGACAGCAACCAAGGCCACAGAGTTGTGCAATGGCAGAAAACTGAATCCCAGGAGACTTCATAAAGATTACTTGAATTTCAGACAGTAATAAGCAGGCCATTCTGATGCTTTAACTTGATTTAAAAAAAAAAAAAAATCTCAAAACTGGAGTACAACAGTGCATATATACAATTATTTAGCCCTTCACGTCTTACTCTGCTGATCTTTTGCTCTTTTTTTGCTACATTTCTGTATCTGCTGTTCTTCCTCAGCAAGAGATGAATCCAGGATACACGCTGTGAACTGCTGGAGGACCTTCAGGTCTGCATTTGTGCCACTGTCATTCTGTGCACTTTCCCAGATGCAGCCAATTTTCACAGGCTGTAGAACATGGAGCCTCTTCCCCTTGGCCATCAGTTCATCCCACTCCTTCGCTTTCAGCTTTTGACGAACCTTCTGATTCTCTGGATCACACTCCTAAAAAGCCACAGGTGAAAAAACTTGTTACAACCATTCCAGATGAATCATTTTCTTTCAAAAAAAAAAAAAAAGCCACCTTCTTGCTGTGCCCCCTGAGTTGCACAGGTTCTCTCCTGCTCTAAGCAAATACGAGTTACGTCACTGCCAGGATCACATGATTTCATGTGTCAATATTTAGCACTTGATAGAAGCAAAAGATGGAAATCCTGGTTCACTTACTTCTGTCACTCCTTCATCTTCAGATAGGTACCCATGGGGTACAAAAAACCCATCGTCATCGTCTTCATCCTCTCCTTCCTCTTCATCATCCTAAACATAAACTCAGCTTTTTAGAAATCTGGCACTGCCAGATGCAGTCATTTATAGAAGCTGTCTTTCAGCACACAGAATCCTTACCCCTTCACTATGGGAAAGGCTTTCACCAGGTTCCTCCTCTTCCCACTCTTCATCACTGTCTACTTCATAGTCCAGTAATTTCTAGAAGAAGAAATGCCAATATGCCACTTCTGTTAGCCTGAAAGCACGATGCCAGAGTCCACCTAGTGCTTCATAACTCAACAGCAAGAACGAGCACACCAGTGGATCAGCAGTCCCAAAGGACAGGTAAACCTGACCACCACATATTCACTTTGAGATCATTAAGAAAAAGAGAATCCAACTACACTGCCTCTAAGTTACTCACACTGTCCTTTGACCAAGGATTCCTGGGACGGATGACAGTGGTTTTCTTGTTCCATGTGCCCCAGTATGCAGGACGGTGATTTTCACAGAACTGCAGAAGTTTCATTCTACCAAATTTCCCCCTTTCAGGAACAGCATCTGTTTTGCAGTTATCCACCACTACCACATCACTGTTAAAACAAGAGACTCCTTTCAGAACCCACAGAATGCTCCCCTGCTGCTCAGGATATCATCTTCTACAAAGTTTCAGTTCAGCCATGATATCAACACAGAACTTGATTAGAACAAACACTCACAATTGGGTTGCAAGAACAGGAGTTTCATAGAGGCTACTGCCCTCTTAACAATACTATGAAGAACTGCAGCCTGCCTCAGTTTCAAGGAGTACAACTGACATCTATCAAAGATAGACAGATTCCCTCACCGCAAGAAAGATTTTGAGGCCCTGGAACTTGTTCAAAGGAGGGCAACAAAGCTGGTGAGGGGTCTGGAGCACAGGGCTGATGAGGAGAGGCTGAAGGAGCTGGGAACGTTCAGCCTGGAGAAGAGGAGCTCAGGGGAGACCTCATTGCTCTCTAAAACTTCCTGAAGGGAGAGGGGGTCGGCCTCTGCTCTCGTGTCATCAGGGATAGGAGCAGAGGGAATGGTTTCAAGCTACGGCAGGGGAGATTCAGGCTGGACATGAGGAAGTGTTACTGTTCAGAAAGGGTGGTCAGGCACTGCAATGGATGCCCAGGGAGGTGGTGGAGTCACCGAGCCTGGGGGTGTTCAAGGAAAGGCTGGATGTGGTGTTGAGGGACGTGGTTCAGTGGGAGCTGTTGGTAAGAGGTGAGCGGTTGGACTGGATGAGCTTTGAGGTCTTTTCCAACCTTGGTGATTCTATGATTCTATGATATAAACACTATTCAAAGGCAAGTAGTTTCCAGTGCTGAAATGCAGCTGCCTAAAACAAAAGACCTCCTGCAAATAAGCATTTAAGAAACATTACAGAATGAAGGAAATCTGTATCCTAACACACTCTCCCTCTGAGGGGACTGTCAGACAAGTATCAAAAGCAAAGCTGCACCTTTCTATTACCCACAGCATTTGATTACAGCTTCCTTGAAACCAGTCCTCTGTTCATCACAAAAACAAGAGGAGAAAAGCCCCGAGACACAGACTGACCTGTTCACTGTGGTACTGCTATTGACAAAAGTGGGTCCAGTTTTACGTGGCTTACGACACTTGAGGTCTCTCAAGAAAGAAACTTCACTATTCTGTGCGCGCAGGAGCCGATCCAGCTGTTCTAAGAAGTCTGGATAAAGGGCAATACGACAGAGGGGAGCTAAGACCATGTTCTCTTTAATTTCAAAAGGAGCAAACTTCCCACAAGAGCCAGCAAGAATCTGAAATGGTAAGTGAGGATCGTTAGGGCCTGAACACCTGAGAAACTGCAGTACCAGCATCTTCATAACGCACAAACCTAAGGAAAAAAGAAAGTTACTGATATTTGAATGAGGATTTACATCCTCTCAGAGACCCCAACAGATCCTCTTGAGGTCTGTACACCCAACACAGCAGGAGACAAAGATGAGATTTTACTCAAGCAACTGCAGACTTCTGTCATCTTTCCCCTGGTCACAGAGTTGTTGTTTTAAACCATTCAATGCTTTAAAAATGAGGAAGTAGGCACTAATGCCTCTTACACCTAAGGAGCTCTAAGGGATAGGCGAGAAGGAAACCAGTGTGTTTGTAAGAAGATGACTAAGGAAAACCCAACAACATGCAGGCATAGCAACAGCTCACCTTTGGGGCTTGCGGAGTCTTTGGTTTCTGGAAGAATCTTGTAATTTCTGCTTTCTGAGCATTAATACGCTAAGGTCAGAATGGAAATGCAAATTGTAATTAAAGGTATGACAAGGCTTCATCATTTAAAGTGAACTCAAGCATGACCCAACTTCAAAACTAATGAGGCATAAAACAAAGTTCAGTTGTTTATCAGCTCCTGTGATGCAATAAAAAAAATAATTGCCTTCTCTAACACACATACACAGATTCCAGTGTAATTGCTAAGACAACAAATGCAGAAAGAATTTAACAGATAGAACAGAGACAGCAGCATCTAAACAAGACAAGAGAACTGCAAGGTCTAACTGGTGGAATGGCACTGCCTGATCCCATGGGACTGACTCTGTTTCAAAGGGACATGCTCACTTCCCAGCAGCAGATGCTGCAGGGGCAGCAAGGCAGTGTACTGCTGTACTGAGAGAACTTCAGGGAGGGTAAAGCAGCAGTTCCACAGCTAACAGCTCAGCTGCACTCAGCAGGGTGCCAGGGAGTCCATTCACTGCATTTCACAAGAACAGAAGAGCTTAGAGAGAGCATTTTACCTTTTCCTCCTCTTTTAACCGTTTCTCCTCTTCTTTCTTTCTCTTCTCCTCAAGTTTTGCCCTTAAATATAAAAAGTTCATTTCACCGGTCACAACTCAAAGTATTTGCTTGGACTTTGGCAGGTGAAAGGCCTTAATTAAGAGCACATCACATTATGCACTAAGATAATTTGTTAAACAAGCATGGCACTCGACTGAAACGTATAGAAGACTCTCCTCACTCCTTCTAAATCAAATATTGAACTGATTTGGGCACAGAGTATGGAGGATGCTTCAAATTTTCCTCAATACAAAAAAAGGTATTTAATGAGTTACCACAATACAAATGACTTCCTCAACAGAAGACAGCAGTACCAGCAAATGCAAAGCTAATAGTAAGAGTGGTCAGGAAGGGAAAACTCAGTGGTTCACAACAGCTCTTTTCAGCTATTTCTGATCAGAAAGCCAGCTCAGCCAGCAAGAAAAAGCAGGGCTGGCATGAAGATCTGACATCCTTCCACCACTTTGAATATATTCAGTGACAAACAGGCACGTGCTGTCCTGTGCTCTAAAACAGGGGGAATATGGTGGGTCTGCAGAGGTTACCACATCATCATCCATTATTCCCCATGGCCTTTAGAAGCCAAGCCACTTACTCCAAGGCTTCCTGCCTCTCCTTGCGTTTCTCCTCCTTCACTCTCAACTTCTCAGCTTTTTCCTTTTCTTCTTTTTCTTTCTTTTCTCTTCTCTCTTTCTCTTTCAGTTCTTTCTCTTCCTCTTTCTTCTTCTTTGCCTCTTCCTTGGCTCGCTCCTTTGCAGCTTTTGCCTCTTCTTTCAGCCTTCCTTTTTCCTCCCTTTCTGCTTGTAACTTCTGCAGCTTGTCAGCACGCTCCTGATCCTAGTTCAAGAAAACCCATTAAGAAAGTGTCTTTGTGCACAGAAGCAGCTGCTGGCACACACAGCTGACTGAAACAAGGACACAACTTCTCCACCTGAGATTCTTCACCCATCCACAAAGACCTGCAAGGTTCCAGCTCCTATAGCTGCACTTAGGAACTGCATCCTGGGTGCAGCCTCAGCTAGCTGACCTGTCTTGCGTGGCATTTTATTAGTTAATTTCTTTTCAGATAATCAGACAAGGCAAGGCACTCTGTGCTTACTTAAAGGGTAGCATGAGAACAGTGAGGGAAGGTGACAAGAGTCAAAGTGTTGCTTTTCCACATTATTTCATTTCAAAGCAACTAAAAGTCTCATTATGGGTCTACTGACGTAAATGAGAACGTGGTACTCTGACTAATTAAAAAAGAAACTTAAGGGAAGTAATTTCCCTACACTGTAGACATTGGTAACTCCACAAGGAAACTAGGATATGTCTGAACTCAGAGATATAAACAGCCTTCTGGTACATTTCCAATTTCTTTTTGTTTATTTCACATCTAAGTCTTCCTGGCAGGATGAAAAATTACTGAACAGCATCACAGTGTACAAATAATGCCAGAACTGTGCCAGAGGTAAAAAGCAACACTGCCAGAACTGAGTCATGGAACTCAGTAAAGATCTGCTGGGTAGCTTTAGGAAGAGATACGAAGCAGACAGCAGGGGAAGTGGGCTGATTTAGCTTTCAACACCAAGCTTCCACATTCTCATCTCTTTCAAATGTAACTATTTACATAAATAAACATTAGAAGTGAATTACAGGAAAAAAAAACAACAGTCTGGAGCTTTACATGGGGCACTGTGAAAAGCCAGCATCTCAGGGAGTTCACTGAGCCACTTATAGCTGATATAAAAAAATGCAACCAACCAATTTCTAAATTAGTCACTACAAAACACAGCAAGGATTCAGAAGCACAGCCCCTCCCAACTGCTGGTAAAATAACAGCCAGCTTTTCAGCACGCAGAGCCCACTCATGCAATGCTGGCTGCTTGAGAACTCCGTGTGATCCATCAGCCTCCTCTGCATTTTTAGCACTGCATGACTGAAAACAGAGTGAATGGACAGCAAAAATCACACTGCTGTTTCGTCTGGATGTTCTGGCTACCAGCATTGGAGTGGACACATAATGCAGCCTTAAGCACTCCCAGCAGTGATGTCCAATAGTTTCCATGAACCCATTGGTCCTCTTGCCTCACCTGCTGAAGAACAGATGCTACTTTTTGTGTTTTAAAGGGAGAAGAGTGTGAACAGTAAGGCAGGAACCCTAAATAAAAGCCTCTCAAGGATTTTGGTTGCGAGTGTCCACTCTGGAGGCTTCCACTCTCCAAGGAAGGGTTTGAAAACGCTCCCAAAAGCCCTTTGATGAGCAGTCAGCAACATTGACAGTCTCTTAATACCTTACTGAAGTGCACAGAAATGCAGTGCAGGCCACCCACAAACCATCAGGTATGCATTAAGGAGATTTTTGGAACAAACTGAGTGCTTTAACCACATGCATTAAGACTCTTCCATATTCATCAGTGAGGAAAGCCAGGGAAAGAGGTGCTATAAGTAGACTGAGATGAAACGCACGGGGCTTTGCTTACTATTCAATGCAAAAAGCACAGCAGGTTAACTTTCTATGTCAGTGAAAAAGCCTTACTCTTTGCAATCTCAGCTTCTCCTTCTCTGCAGAACTTTTGTGGAGTTTCTGAGATACCTGAAATCACAAAAAAGGAAGTTTTAGAGATCCGTGTCATTCCTTTCTCATGAGATGCTGAAACTACTAAACAGAGCAACAAGCTCCATTTAAATTACATTAACTTTTTCTTCAGGTTAATGTATCCAGCAACATAAGCATTCCTTCAAGCACTAGATATGCTTGAACTCTATTCTTAGATCCAATCTCACTGATTTATAATAAGCCTGAACACACTAATTGTTTCAGTTTACATTAGGTCCTCCTATTACCAGGCTTTGCATAAACAAACCCTTCTTGTTACTCAGCCCTAAAACATCATTTGCAATGTAACACCACGAGTACAAAAACAAACAGGAGGTACAGCTGCTCCAAATCACAAGAGCACAACATTGACTCAAAGGAAGCAACTCTGCCACATAAACTTCTGTTTTTTTATGCTACTGTTGTTATGCCAGATTATTTAGCTACAGCTTCCTAAGCACAAGGACTACTTTCAATATTCCCTTGCTGCTCCTGCTGGTGATCACAGCCCTCCTGTTCTTCCACTATTATCAACCCTATGGGTCACAGCTTCCTTTCAGTTAAAGCCATCATTCCCAAGGAAGAAAGAAGGCACAAAGGTACTCAGTATCTAAAGAGTAGCACTCATTGACCTTAGCTTCTGAGCAGTCTATATTTCAGCTCACTCTGGCTTGCTTTCTTGTATCCTCTTCTTCCTCCTGCCATCCTCAGGCAAAGGCAGAGCATTTATCTCTGCGATTAAAGCATTTGGTCTGCTTTATTTTCTACATTCAGGCACGGAAGTTCAGAGTGTAAAGATGCATCAGGTGGCTCTGTACTCACGTGATGCAAAACAAGAACACTTTAAACTCAGAGCTTTACTTTCTTGAAGTGTTTCTGCTTTAGAAAGCAGACATTCTAGCACAGACAATGGTGCAGATCAGCACAGACATCCCACTCTGGCAAACAGAATGAATGATGTGCCAACCTTGCCTCACACCAGGCAAAACCAATAACTTGTTGACGTGAATATATTACATCCAAAGTCAAGTGCTCTCTTCTGTTGTGTTGTACTAGGAATACTTCATGCCTACTTGAGTTTGTGCGTGTATTGTAGAGTGACACCACAAGTTTTAACAGCCAGAAGTCAGGACCAGGTAACTCCCCCCAGGAAAATTCAAACAGTAGAAAAAAGGCAGACCACAATGAGAACTGCAAGCCCAGCTCACGCAGCACAGCATCTGAACACCTGAAAAAGCCCTCCTTGTTTTCCCCTCCAATCATGCAGTTAAATGCAAGCAACACAGCAGTCAGAGAGCTCAGCTGAACTTTGGGCAAGGCTTGGCTACAGTATCCAACTCACTCCCCAGGGCAGCTCTGCTGTAGGGGTTTCACTGCTGACTGCTGTGCTCCCAACCAGAGCATCCTCTCTTTATACCTCCACTGCTCTGTTCCCCAGGAAGACCAAGCATTTTCCAACCACTCAACTCACAACCATTTCAGCCACCTGCACGGACACTGTTGGTTTTAAAAGCTTCCCCTTCAGCACAGCACCAGAAGTCCAATCACAGGTGTCTCTTGTTACACGACAGGCAGTGACCAGAAGCTAAACCAGATCCCAGCCCCAGCACACACAGGGCTGTTAGATCAGAGGTATCCCATCCCCTCCAGCCCTAAGCAGCATCTCATAGTCACAGGAACACACAGTGAATTATCCCTTAAGCAGCCTCCTGCTGGACAGGGCACACAAGATGGCTGACAGCACAAGCCTTACACACTTCATTCCTATGGAGACCCATTTGGCTTGTCCTCTGTCTTCAGAGGGAAAACTGCACTTCTGCTAATGCCCTATAGTTTCACTGAAAGGGTTTTTAACAGCCCAGATTCAAGATTTCAAAGCTGGTGGTGGAAGCTGACAAAAACAACCCCACAGCAGCAACAGAGAGAACAGAATGGATGTTATAAAACAACACCTGCTGGACACAACGCTTTGAGCTCTGTCCTTATCCCAGTTACTAAGGTGTACATCCCAAGGCACACACTTCACAATCACTATAATGAAAAGAACCTGCAACAGGAGCTTAAAGCTGCACTCATGCTATTCAAACACAGCAACTCCAAACTCAAAAAGACTTAAATAGTCTAGCTACACAATTTAAAGGAGGATTCAAGAGGGTAATCATTCAGTTACATTATTAATAGATTGACAACACCTTCCATAAGGTCCCACAATCTTTGTGAATAACTTGTTTATCCTTTTCATGACAGTCCATCTACAGTGTAATAACCCTTAAACAACCAAGAAAAAAGACCAACCTTCCTAATAGGCGTTGAGACAGCTAAAGGACTAGTATTTCTCTTGCTTTCTGCAACAGGCTGTGCCTCAGGGGAGCTCACAGAGAGGGAGCTTAATGAGGAATTAGTAAGTACAGAGTCTCCTTCATGGGACAATTCTACGGTCTCATTTTCTGATGTGACACTTCCATCCAGAGAAGTGACTTGGGGAGATTTAGCAGCCATAATATCTTCAAGAAGCACTACAGGCATCTTCCCCTCAAATATGACGTCCTTCAGTTCACCCTGATTAACCTTCGTGTTTTCCAAGTTGTTACACTTTGTCAACCCAGAACAAGACTGGATTCCATCTACCAAATCTTCACCCTTATTTGCAATAGCTTCACACTGCACATCAGTCTCCATTGAATCATCAGTTTGGCTGTTCTGGGTGGAATTCAGGCAACTCAGCTTGTTCGTATCTTTTCCTAGCACACCATTAGTCAGAGCTGCAGAAGATGCTTTTGAATCAAAATTAACGTGGTCTACATCATCACTGAGCCTTTGATTAGGCTCATCTACAGAGTCAATAATGACGATGATTTCATCTCTGTTATCTTTTGAGCCCTTTTGTATAAAGTGGTCTAAAGGACCCTTCCCGTTAACAAGTTTCGGAACAAAAGTCACATCTGAATTCAGCTGGCAGTCATTCTCCATATTGTCCGTGGAAGCACACGATGTGGCTGTGGAAGAATCCTTACTTTGGCCCAAACCACTCTTAGAACTCTTTCCTTTCTTGCCTTCTGCTTCTGCATCACATTTCTCCTTTGGTACAGGATTCAGGCGCTTGAAAGGCAACCGAGCTGCAACAAACAACATTTGGCTATTTCAGTCACAGCAAACAAAGCAGCAGGATAAGGAGAAATAAAACTTAACGCATTCATTTTGCTGTTAAACAGCAGAACGAAACCAGATTACAGCTGCAGGCAGTTCACTGCTGCAAATACTCCCAGGCCTGGTGGTTTTTGAAGGCACTGGGGCTTTACAAGAGGTGACAGAGGCTCTCCCACAGCCTTACCTTGCACGAGTCTCCGCGGGGGAACGACCGCTTTGTCTCTGCACTCCATGGCTACAAAAGGGAAACAAAAAGAGCCCCGTGAATGGCCGGGCCACGCTGCAGCCCCACCACCGGCCCTGAGCAGCACCCAACAGGCACAGCCGGGCTCAGACTGACCTCCAGAGCTGAGGGAAACCCAACGACTGAGGAAACGGCACCGCTCGGGGCCTACACCGAAACGGGACCTCCGCTCTTGGGCCTCCTTTGTTACCTCAGGAAGAACCCGCGCCCCCGGAGACCCGGAAGCCCCGCGATGCCTCCAGGCCTTCCCCTACCTGCCATGGCGAGGCGCCACGGCTCCAGCGGCAGCAGACCAGAGCGGACCCGGCCCGCTCCAACCCGTTCCGTCCGGTTCCGGCCCTGTGCCTCCCGCTCGTATTTGGCGGGAGCCGGGACGACCCCGCGCCTGCCCGCGCTGATTGGCCGAGAGCGCCCACGTGACTCGCTCTTCCGCCCGCCCTGCCTCCGCCCGCGTCTCGCGAGGAGCCTGTGCGGGAGGCTCGGCGCCGGCTCCGCCCCTACATCCGCATTGGTCAGAGCGAGAAGGAGAGCTGATTGGCGGTCAGGATTGTCACTCTCGCTCGCTGGAAGCGCTGATTGGATGAAGATGACGAGAAAGGAGGAGCGCGGAAGGTCCCTCACCCCCGGGCCTGAGGCCGTGTTGCTGTCCGGCGGGAGTGAGGGCGGTGCGGCTCTGTGGAGATCAAGGCAGTCCTTCAGCAGTGGTGGGCAGAGGGGCGGGGCCGCCCAGTACATTAGGTCATTGAGTGGGCCGAGACGGTGCGCGAAATGGCGGCCGTGTGGCCAACGAGAGGCCCGGTCAGTGGGCGGCTTTGGCGCGAAGGCTGCTGGGAGTTGTAGTCCGCCTCTGGCGCATGGGGTGCTGGGAGCGGGAGCGTCATTCCAGCGGCTGCAGTGCCGGCTCTTCTTTTCCCTAAAATCCCCCCTTTTCGTTCAAAAACTATTTCCGCTCGTGCTGTCACTACCCACCCGTGTACCAAGTCGCTCTCCCTCCTATTTATGAGCCGCCTTCAGCTACAGGAAGGCCGCCACGCGTTTTCCCCAGAGCCCCTCTCTCTTCTAGGCCGAACACCCCCCCACTCCGTCCGCCTCTCCCCCCTCGTAACAGCGGTGCCGCCGTGGCGCTCCGCCAGACCGCTAGGGGGCGCTGTGTTCCCTCTTTGGGGCGGGGCGGGCCGAGCCGCTTCCTGGCCGCGGCGACTCGGCGGAAACGGCGGCGTTGGCAGCGGCGGAGCGGGTCTGCGGGTGGGCTCCGTGTTTGCCGAGTGTCACCTCGGCGTCCCGCCGCCCGCTGCGTGTCCCCGGTCGGCACAGGAGGCAGCATGTCGGTGGCGGGGCTGAAGAAGCAGTTCTACAAAGCGAGCCAGGTGAGGCACCGCGATCCGCGCCTTCCCTTAGCCGCTGCTGTCCGTCCGCTCTCGGTGCACCCGGAGGTTCGTTCCTACCCTCCATACCGACCTCGCCGCTCTCCGGCTGATGGCGGTTCCGCTGTTTCCATCCGGTAGCCCCGTGCCAACGAGCCGAGCTCCCGTTGCGCCTCGGTGTTCCGCCCTGGGACCCCCCAGGTGTCCCGTCCCCCCCTTCCCCGGTCTGTGCTGCTTTCCCATCCCGTTACCGGCGCCCATCCCTTGGCCGGAGCCTCTTCCCTTCACGCAGACCCCTTGCGGGCTCCATTGCCATCCCTGCTATGGCAATCCCTGGACTGATCCCCCACTGCTGTGGCAATGGGTCACAGCACCCCTGGTTCAAGCCCACCGTTGCCGTCAGGTGCCCTCCCTGCTGTGTTGGATGGAGATGAGGCATTTCTGGAGCTCTGCGTGCCATCGGTGTTGTGGTGACATGAGCACAGCTCTCCATCCAGGCCAGCACAGTGACACAGTCACCAAAAGGAACTTGGCTCCAGCACGATGATGCAGAGATCTGTGCGGCTTCACTGAGAGCTGTGTGGCAAAGAGCTTCCATCCCTGTGCTTTATGGAATTCCTGGACAGAGTGAGAATCACAAAATGGCCAGGGTTGGAAGGGACCTCAGGAATCATGAAGCTCCAACCCCCTGCTGCATGCAGGGCCGCCAACCTCCACATTTCAGGCAGCCCAGGGCCCCAACCAACCTGGCCTTGAACACCTCCAGGGATGGACGGGGCATCGCAGCCTCTCTGTGCAGCTGTTCCAGCCTCTCACCGCTCTGATAGTAAAGAAATTTAAGGATAATAATAATAATAAAGGGATTTTAGGAGCAATGTGTTAAAGGGGAAAGAGTTGCATAAAATGCAGTCTGCAGGGCGATGTTTGCTGTGGCCTTGGGAAATTCCCACTGCTGTGGTAGCTCTGGGACTGGAGAAGGGTTTTGTGCTCAGCAGGGCAGAAGCACAACTCCCCATCTGTGTGCGGCAGGGCTCTGCTCTTTGGGAAGACTGTCAGAAGAGCAGTTTTTAGCAAACGAAGCCTTTTTGTGCCTCCTGCAGTTATAGTACGGTGTTGTTCCTGAAATTAACTCTTGGGATTATTGTTTTTTTAATGCATTTTTGGAACAAATCTGGATTTAGGAGCGCACCCTTAGGAGCACTGCTCTGGGTCCCCCAGTCCCTGCTTTTGTGCCCCTGTTTTCAATTTAAGGCAAGTTAATTTCTCACAGGTCCACCAACGGGCTCTGCTTCCCATGCTCATAGTTTAAACCCTTCTAATCTCAATCTGCGTACGCTTGCTGCGTGGATGGGTTCCTTCCTTGGCCATGTTTATGAAAAAGCATTTTGCTTAAACAGCAAAGTAATACATTCCTGAAGTCATTCCCCACCCCCTTCCTTACAACAGGAAAACAAATCTCTGCATCATTATTATGGCTTCTTTTTTTATGGCTTCCATGGGGGAAGGTTGTGCTGAAAAAGAAACTGTAGGAAGGCTTTCCTAGCACAGATGTGCAGTGTTGTTGTAGCAGGGCAATTAGAGGTGAAAGCGCATCGATGAGTCAGAAGCAACGTGTTTCCAAAGCCTGGAAACATCTTTCTAAAACATCTGATGAAACTTTTCTGTGGGGAATTACTGTAAACTGAAGTGAATTCATATGTGGTCTTTGGTGGGCGTTTTTCTTACGGATGCCGTGTTTTATTTTTTTAAAGGAACCAATCTGATTGCTCATGGAAAAGTTAAACCCTGTGAGCTCTCTGATGAGCAGCAGCCCAGTGTCCGAACTTGGAAGCCCGTTTATCTGCATGCATGCTTGCATGTACTTGTTTTGAGCACTTAGCTTGTGCTCAAGGAATATTGCAGTGGGGGAAAAGCTGTGTGTGTGTGTGGCTGCATCTTGGGCTCTCGTGCAGCTCCTGCTGCTGCAGGGTTTCGGAAGGTGATGAAATCTGAAGAAGCCTTTCTGCTGGTATTTGCAGAGCTGCTTTGCAGGATCTGGAGAAGCGCAGTCACAGGGTGGACCCCGCTTCTGCCTTCATGGTTCCAGTGGCTGGAACCACACTGCAGAGGTCCTTTGTCTGGAAACGAGAGTGACTGGTTCTAGCTCTGCCCCTGTTCTGTGTTATTCTCCTCTCCTTTTCATTTTCACCCTTCTTCCCTTTCCCTCCCCTGGTCCCAATCTTCAGCCACTCCTTGGCTGAAGCAGGAGGAGGATTAGCTATTTTTTGGCACTCTTAAAGGTATTAGATGCTGCCAAAGCCAAACATGTGGAAGATCTTTCCTAAAACGTTGTGTTTTGTTCCACGTCTGTTATTAATTGAAGAAGAGCACAGCCAGGACCGAGGCATGCTGGGCCCTTCAGTCCTGGGTATGGGGATAAAGCTGGGCATCAGCTTCTGCCTCGCACCCGTATGCAGCAGAGAGCCTACAGTACCCTGCAAAAAGCCATGCTTGCAATGCTGCAGGACGTGAGCCTGTGCATCCAGAACAGGTTTTGCTAGTTCACAGCAAAATGTTCCTCTGGAGAGAGGGGAAAAAAAAAAGACAGTACAAAAATAAAACCAGCCTTTAGAAAGTGTTCTCCCGTGGGGGAGAAGCAACCAAATGCACAGCTTGGAGCTCCAGCAGCACGAGCTGGGTGCTGCATGGGAGGCTGTCATCACTGTGATCCACTGCTGGCCTCTCGGGTACTCAGGGAGATGCAGAAACCTTCTGGTGCAGAGATGGCTTCACATGCACTGTTTTCTCTTTCTACAAACCAATTCCTAAAGTGGAAGGTTTAATATCTGCAAGGCTTTCTGTTAATTTGTCATTTGATACACTTGGTGCATAAGCAGGGCAAAGAAATGTGTCTGTGCTGTTCCCTGGGGAGCCCAGTGCCGAGATGAGCGCGTGTGCAGGTTCCTTGCTGCTGTCCTACAGAACAGCCTGCTACCTGTGTCAGGGGGGTTATCTGCCACTGAAGGGACAAGCCCTAGGGTGGAGGCACTGTGATGTGACACTGGTGAACGTGTCCCCTCCCTCTGCCAGGTAGCCCTGTCCCCACTGGGCCATGCCAACTGCTGGCATTCCATGCGTAACAAGGCCTTTGCAGAGACATGAAGCACGGTCTTGTGTTCCCATCGATCAGCCGTTGCCCTGATGGCTCAGCGTGGAGTTGGATTCAACCCAGGTGGGAGAGTGGCATTGCTTTTTTTTTTGCTCAGCCCTCAAATGTCGTTGTCACGTGGAACAGGATGAGCGTTCTCTGCATGGACCAAACCCAAACCTTGCTCGTCCTGCTCAGGCTCAGTAACCAGAGCACCATACGAGTTCTTGTGCTTGCTGTGCTTGAGGAGCTCCTTGCCAGCCACCCTTCTGCTTGCAATCTGTCACGGCTGCACTCGGTGACCATGCCAAAACCCTCGGTGTGTAGGGCAGCACGGCAGCCTCAGAGCTGTAGGATAACATCCTCTTCCCTTCCTGGGGTGTGCAGAATGAGAACACAGAGCCCTGGCCCAAGACAAAGACCAGCAGCCTCCCCCCTCTGTGTGCAGAAGACAAAAGCTGTATTCTGAGAGGGGAGTGCTAATTAAAACTACCAAGCCCTTAACGTACACACTTTTTCCTGAGTTTGATGATGGCTCTCGAGGCTCTTGAAGATATTTTTGAAAACATGAGTGCCTGATGTGAGGACCTGGGCTGTGCTCTTTGGCCCGTGACAGTATTTCACTCCAGGAACAAGCGGATCCTACGCCCTGTACATCTGCAGTGTGTGCTCACTGTCCTGAGCAATGGCTGAAGAATCACCTGTGCCTGGTGCCGAGGTGCAGCAGCATCAGCTTAAAGGCCTGAGACATGAGCCTGGCCCAGACACACTGCACAGGCACTGCGTGAGGACCAGGAGAGGGATGGCAATGCCCTTTTTTTGTCTTTCTTCCTCTTGTCTGGTCCGCAGAGAGATTTCCTTTATGAAGTTCTTTCTGTTGAGGCTCTGTTTTGGATGTTCTTCTTCCCTCTCCTGTTTCCCACATTGTACCTTTTAACAGTTCCTTTTTTTTTTAAAGTTAAGCCAGTCCTCCTAGCACTCTTAGGCTTTCTCCCCCAGGCAGGAGATGGCCCTCCGCTCATTTCCTTTGCTCTGTTTGCAGCTGGGCACTGGGCTGCTCTGAGTGGCACAGATGTGCTGTGCAGTTCAGGATCTCCTGCTGGAAGGGAAATGGGCTGCTCAGCATGCAGGATAACCTTTTACACTGAAAACAAAACCCACAGAGGCCCATTTCCCTGGCCTGTTGGTGCCCCGTCCTGCTGCAGACGTTTTGAGTTGTGCCTGTTTCCAGATGGAAGCTGTTCCCACACTGCTAGATGCTTCCACACCTGCATCTCAAGACAACCATTGCAAGAGCTTCAGCCACTGATAGCAGATGCTGGATGTGAATTGCAGGGCTAAGAACAGTGGTGTCAGGACAGTGGTGTCCCCGGTGCCGATGTGCTGCAGCTCTATGGACAAAGGAAGCACGGTGCCACAGTGGGTGCAGAACCTCAAGACAAGCCAGGCTGTGCACTGACGTGCAAATGTCATACTGGCTTTTAGGGAATCCTTCAGAAAAAGGATGGCAATGGACCTCAGAGGCAAGATGTGAGGAGCACAAAGAGGCCTGGTGAGTAGGGCACTCTCTGAATTTGCCCTGCTGGGACACAAGGGGCACAAACAGCATGGAGACACTGGTGCTTTGCCTTGAAGCTCCTACAGATCAATTCAGCTTGGGGCTGAATTAAATTCATCTAGAAGCTACCTTCAGTTCTGACAGTGTGTACAGCAGCATCTCTTTTGCTCCTGTTTTGAAGTTGGAAGAACAAATCCTCCAGTTTTCTCTTCCAGGTCTCCCCATGAGGCTGGCACAAGGCAGTGCTGCTGGGTTGAACCTTGGTGACAAAGGCAGGCTGAGATGCAATGTCCAAGTGCCTTATCTGAAAATATGAAC